AATCGAATTTCGACCTTTGCCGCGAAATTAAGAATTTGTCTGATTTTTACAGGCAGGCTTTCTTAAAAGTGATCTTGTATAAATGTTAGCATCCTCAGTAAGTCATGATGCATGCTCAGTAAATTACATCAATTTTTTTTTCTTACTCTTTTTTTATATAGATACATAGATGGTACGAGCCTGGTTGGAGGCCATGTTCAAGGACCTGTGGCAAAGGAATTCAGCTCAACACCCTGAAAGGTGCCATAAAAGCACCCGCTGTGAATCTTTTGAGGCTGAACAACCTCAGAGAAGAAGTAAACCCGCTTTTTTAACCCCTAAAAGGTAGGACGAGTACCCAGAGCATAAAGTTCTTTAGTTAGATGGGTAGAGGTAAGGTAACAGAGGAAGAATGCAACACCGACATCAGTTGTCCACGTGAGTAGCTGGGAAATTGTCATCATAATTTAGCCTACAATGGTGATCTAGAAAAAGCGAGAAGGACTCCTCTAATCAAAACTAGAAGGACTGCTTAAGGGATAAGTTTACTGCAAGGTTTTAATTTTTGTACTGATGTTTTTCAGCAAACCTTTAGAATTATTAATGAGTTTAAGAAATATGTGCTACATGCCGGCTGGGAGGTCGTAGGAGGTCACGGTTTTTCACTATACGGATTGACCCAGCTAAGCCGACAAATAACATTTTTTATTACACATAACACGACAATTTTATACCATAAAGCTCATTTGTAGAAATCTATACCCTTTGTTTTCACGTGTGAAAAATAGCTATACAGCCAATCAGAATGGCGTACAACTCTTTCACGTGTCGAAGTATAACCAATCAATGATAGCGCAAAGGCCTTTCCGAGCCAATCACAAACCTTTACATTCAAATAGATTTCCAGATTTGGCGGCTTTTCAGCGGCGCCTCCCCCAAATTTTTCCTGCGAAAATGGCGAAGGCGGAGGAAAGCTCTAGATTTGTTTCGGTTGGTTGCTCCCTTGACGAGTTTGTACAGCATCAAGAAAACACGAACATATTAAGCAAAACACAGTGAGATGTCTCGTTGCTCAAAAAATTTTTAGTTTCAAGGAACGAGCTGAGAGAGATTGAAAATATTGATGCAAAAGATCTCGACGTGTTAATCGCCAATTTTCTACTTCAAGTTCGAAAGAAAGACAGAGAACAATACGAACACCCAATGAAGTGGGTTTGTTTACGCAACTTTATGGGATGTTAAAGTTACCTTTTCAAATATAAATGACAGTCACTTCCACGTAATCATAGAATCCATGTTTCATGGTAAAGGCCTGCCTTCCGAGATATGTCCTACAGATGGATAGTAACTTTTCTCATCGTTGGGTACAATGCAACTATCCCATATTGCTGTCACGGCGTTTTCACAGACCGATCTATTTTTAGTTTGAATTTACCGCGAATTCAGACCCCCGCAGGAAACCTCAGTGTCCAATCACGCCCAATGACGTCATCATTTCACCGGAAGATTAAAAGGAAAAACAAAACGGCGGAGACATGCAAGGAATCGTCTGATAGTTCTAGTGTAGATTCCTGTGAAGATTTTGAAGGCTAAAAATAGACCGGTATGTAAAATTGCTGTGACATAGGTTTAGTATGAGAGTTGGACGCTCCTAGTGATAGGCTCCTCGCCGCTATGTATATAAAAGTCGTATTTTGACGAATGAATCGGTGACATCACAAACGCTTTTCGACTTAAAAAGGCTTAAGAAAAAATGCTGTAGCATATTTTCCCTAAAGTCAGGCGCTGTGGCTTTCACCTTGGCTTCAATGAAAATGCTTCTAAGACTTTGAAGCTGGCTTCCGAGGAAAACACTAACTTTAAACGCTTATAACTTTAAAATTATTGAAGCAAAGAACTCCAAATTTAGCGACCTTTATTAAAATTTGTCTGGGAACAATTTAGCATGACATGTCATTGTTGAAAGTAAATTGATGTTCTCGTGCTCACCATGTTTTAGGAAGTCAAAGATCCCCGGTTCCAGGAAACCGAAAGATCTGTCTGATTACAAATAAGCTGGGCTCTTTTTTGCCACTCAGTAGTTTACGGTTTAATTTCTCTTAATTCGCGACATCAATTTGC